GTGTGCATTTACAATCGAGATTGTTGTCATCATAAAGTGAGGTGGAAGTGATGGCATTCTTTTTTTAAACACCTTCTTCTTACATCTATTTATTGTATTTGTGAGTGTGTGCCACGGTGCACGTGTAGAGGCCAAAGGACAACTAGCTGGAGTCGATTCTCTCCTTCCACCCTGTGAGTCCAGGGACTGAACTGAGGTCGTCTAGCTCAGCAACCCTGAGCCATCTCTTAGGCCCGTGGCATCGTTTTGACGGCACAAGAGCCTTCCCTCCTGCTCAGTGCTGCGTCCTGCAACATGGCACATACCCAGTCAGTGCTCACAGAAAGATCCATGCTCTGTGAACACTATCCAGTCCCAAACAGAAGTCAACCATGAAGGGCTGCACATCAGTTTGCTAGTTGAGTGCTTGCCTAGCATGTTCCAGGCTCTAGTTCCACCTCCAGCACCCATAAAGCTGGCAAAGGGTGCTCACCTGTATCCCAGGCTGGGGAAACTCAGAGGCAGGAAGATGAGAAGTTCAAGGCCGTTCTTGGTTACATAGCCACAGGGAAGTTCGTGGCCAGCATGGGCTACAGGACTGTTTCAAAAAGAAAAGAAAGACAAAGAAAACAAGAAGGAGTGGGCACAAGTGACCAAAACTAACCAGGGCATTATTGCTAATTCTTCAGGACTGTTTGCTGTAAAGTGAGCGAGCCCAAGCAGGACTCGTTATCACCACACAGGGCTGGAGATAGCTCAGCTCCTCAGCCGGCAGGAAGGCTTGTTGTGGTCACATTTAGGCATTTCCCCTTCCAATTACAGAAAGAATACAATGAAAGCAATTTCTGTGGCAGCTAGCCCACACTGGCCATGTGAAGCCAAGACAGGAGCCCGGGTGTTGTTAAGGAGCCACATTGTTATACATTGTTACTAAGTCTCCATACCTTACAAGAATAAGTTTCTGTTTCCTGAGCCTAATGTATCTGGCAATGTTTTTCAACCTATGCTGAACTGGTGACCCCATGATGTACGCCCTCCTTTTGGCCTTGCTAAACTCCTGAGCACGGTGATGAGTCCCCTTCCACATGACGTGTTCTTGTGCTCATCTACCCCGCAGGCAGCCTTGAGCCCCGAGTCTCCACTCTTCTGTCCAGGTCCTAACAGCCAATTATCTCAGCAGTTATTCTATCAACCCTAACCCTTCCCCATAAAAGAGACCCCAAAAGCCAGTGAGGGGCTGCTCTCGGGAACCCCGACTCAGGGAGGCAGTCATCTGGCCAGTCCCTTGTGCACTCCTAAATACAGCTTGCTTTAATCTGACAGCTGTGGAAATGGCTTTTGTTTTTGAACTGGGTTATGGTACCAGGTCTAACAGTCATACCACTAGAGGAGTGTGGGGGTCCCCCAGGCTCTGTGTCCAGCTGAGGCCACGAGCACTGACCTGGCCCAGCAAGTCTTTCCCACTGTGTCATGCTGTGTTGTTAGTTGTTCTGTTACCAATAAAGACTCAGGAGTCAGATATTGGGATGAAAACCTGATAGATCACAGAAGTGGCAGAGGATCGACCAGCTGACCTTCTCTCCACACTTCCCAGACGAAAAGGGGCCAACAAAATGTCTTTGAATCTTCAAGTCCTTCCCTACTCCTTCTTGGGTCTTTCTATTCCTATGTGGGTCCTCCATGGTTTCTATGACTAATCCTTGTCAGTTAGTCTCTGGCTCTGCCCCTGATTCAAGGAACTTTATGAACACAGTCTCAGGGTGTCACAGTAAGATCAAATATCCCGCAACGATGTCAGGCTTGGGGGGGAATCTGGGCTACACCGGGTGGTTGAAAGTAGGGAAAGCCAGGAGCACGCACAAGCACACTTTAGTCCCCACATCAGCAAGGCATCCTGTCAACTTCTCTCGTGGGGACTGGTCTTCAGATCTAGAGCAAACAGCTCTGTCCCTCCCTCTACAGACAGACAGACACACAAACACACTCCCAACTGTCTGAGGCCTGCACCGACTCATGACTATCAGGCACACGGCAAGCTGCACTTAAAACAAGAGAACATGCCGGGCAGTGGTGGGGCACACCTTTAATCCCAGCTCTTGGGAGGCAGAGCCAGGTGGAGGGAGCTCTGTGAGTTCAGAGAAACCCTGTCTCGAAAAAGAAAAAAAAAAAGAACATGAAGTTAGAACATCAGCAGAGCAGAGAATGCTAAGCCAAATCGACCACATGATGGCTCTCGGCGACACAGGAAGGACCCTGTCATTACGCGCCAGTGGTCACAGCAGCTGATCCTAGGGTGCAGCTGGTGAGCTGGCCATGTTACCATCATCAGAGACAACTCCACTGCTACATACACGGCCGCCCCCAAAGCTCCCCAGCACAGGCCTACACTGTCCATTTTAGAAAAGCTTACCTAACAGACCCCACCCGCTATACCCACATTCACTCACCCAGCGAGGCACACATGGAGACACTCAGCCAGACACACATCCATGGCTGTCTTAGGTCGAGGCCTATGGAAGGCTGAGTCCCCTCCCATTTGGCCTGGGATGAGCATTCTTCCTACTGCTTTAATTTCAGGCACGAACACAAAATGCAAATTACAGCTTAGGAAAGCATTCTCAAGTTCCCCCACCCCCATGGTCTTGCTCTGTGCCCTCTTCTGCATTCTAGAACCTTTCAAAGAAGCCAGGAGTGGTGGGTGATGCGTCTCATCCCAGCACTGGGTTTTGGGAGGGGGTGAGGTCCCAGCACTGGGGTTGTGGTTGCATGCTCTGGGTGGGGTGAGGTGGAGGGGGATCTTAGATCCTAGCACTGGGTTTTGGGAGGGGGTGAGGTCCCAGCACTGGGGTTGTGGTTGCATGCTCTGGGTGGGGTGAGGTGGGGGGGATCTTAGATCCTAGCACTGGGTTTTGGGAGGGGGTGAGGTGAAAAGCTCTTCCCAGAGCTTCCCTGCTTGCCTGAATTGTGTGCCACAATCCAGTTCAAAAACAAAACAAAACAAAACAGAAAAACCAATAAATAGCCAAACCGAAGTGTCGAGACATCACAGCGTTACTGAAATTCCTTCCAGTGAGGACAAAAGCAAGGTCTACCTCTCCTCCCAAGATGACAAATCAAGGCAGGATTCCAACAAAGTCCACTGAGGACATAATGAGCTTCCGGAACTCCTTAGCACAGGTGAGGGGCTCTGACAAGGTGTGCACTCTCCTCCCCATCAAGTTGCAAAGGGAACCAGAGTCAGGTTTTCCCACACCACACCAGAGTCAGGTTTTCCCCACAGGCACACGACAGAGACCCCGCCCCTAGTCTTTCGGGGTCTCCAGACCTCCTGAGGCTACACACAAACAACGGAGGCAAGAAGTGGCTGGAGGTCAGGTGAAGGTCTATGACCCTCCCTACCCCTCTGTGGAGTGCGGGGTAGACAGTCAACAAAGTGCTTACCTAGGGTGAGCGAGGCCCTGGGGTCAATCCCTGGTAGTAAGGGAGTGATAGGCAATAAAGAACAAGGGGGAAATGGCGGAGATCAGATGATGGCACCCTCAGAGAGATGCTGTCACACCCACCCAGCCTTGCATGTCAAAGGTGATGGCCTAAGAGCAGAAAATGTCTGAAAGCCACGGTCAACACTTCCTACATCGACCTGGTTGTGGCCATGGCTTCACTTGGTCTCTCTTCTCCAATAGGCTTACCAGGAAACATCCACCTCTCCGTGTAAGCAGGCAAGGCAGTGAACACTGAGGACAACCAAGTTCAAAGCCCCTTCTTGGACAGTCTGTGCAGAATCCCCACACAGGGCCCCTTAGGTCTCAAACTGGACAAACAGCTGAGGTGCCTACTTAACATATAAAAGCAGGCCCGGCAGCCAGCTTCTCCCTGCATCCCACGGTCCCCACCCGTTACAGGGTATGCTGGGATGTTACAGGGTATGCTGGGATGTTACAGGGTATGCTGGGATACCTCACCCCGGAAGTCTCCACCCAGGGGCTGGGCTGTCCTTCCCTATACAGTCCAGACATTTAGGTTACCTGGTCCCTTTCGTCTACTCTTTGGGCCTCCGAGCTGCTGCACCTGGTCTCCCTCATCCCTCCCCCTCGCAGATGCCCCTGCCTCGGGCTATGCTCTCCCACAGATCTGTAGTAAACCTCCTCCAGCACACTCGGGAGCAGTGTCCTTCTTTTCATTCAGCTTCCATCCTGTTTGGGGGTGTGGTAAGAGGAAGCCTAGGATGTATGGTGACTGTCAGCTAAGAGGCAGAGGCTGCCTATGCGGACCTCTGGATCTCGGGGGCCAGCTAGCCTAGACTACTTGTCCAGCCCCCAAGAAACAGTGACAGGAGGGTCTAAATTCACAAAACTATGTGGCCATCTGGCATCGAACTCCGTACAATACATATTTTACAGTCCTTGACACAGGGTCCTTGTTTGGAAAACTCTGCGTGTGTAATTAGTACCAGCTGAGATCAGTTACACATCATAGTGACAGCCAAACTTCTAACTGCTCAGCCTTGAACTTGACCAAAGAAAAGCAAAGCCCACACTGAGCTCCCATGAGCAGTGATTTCACAAGAACGTAAATAGGGTTTCAGTGGCAATGCAAACCGCGACTAAATGACTCGACTCTCCTCACACCTTCCAACATGAAGCTGTCACCACAGGTGGGAGAGAGGGAGAACTGGCACCCCCACTCCTGGCTTGGTACCCCCTCTCCCAGCATCCCACAACCGCCCCAGTCAATGAACAAGGGGGGTTTTGTCCAGAGAATGAATGAGGACAGCTTTCTCCTCGGCGTTTTATTAAAACTTGAAAGCTGTGGCTTCCTGCCATCGATGACGCCTGTGGGATCCCAACAGCCAAACCTTCGAATGCCACTGTTAGCAACCGTCATCTTGCTGGGGCCGAATGTTCAGCAAGCCTGAGGTGTGGGTCACGAAGGATTTTCTAGTGTAACAGAGCAACTTAAGATTCTTTGGGCAGCGCCTGGAAACACAACACAAGGCCTTTCTTCACAGCAGGTGAAGTGAATCGATTACCAAGAGTGACCAAAGATTTTATTTGTTTAAAAGCACATAACACCAAAGTTGTATATGGTACCCATAATTCACTGCAAACAAGATGGCTAGTTTCTCTGGATCACTGCATGAACAGCTCAGACAATGGTTAGGACTGTATCTTAACCAACAGGCAGTTCAGGGTCGGGCTGACTCCACACACTATTGTTTGCAGAGTTCTGTGTGGGTTTGAGATGGAGACAGGGTCTCCTGAAAAGCTGGCTGCGCTATGTCAATGCTAAAGATGACAGAGTGGTCACCCTAGAAAGAGCCCTGACTTGTCTTTGGCGTCCTCCCACCTGGTCCGCTGATATTGAAGACCATGCTGGTGCCACACAACAAGCTCATCTCTAAAACACAAAGTCATGCTTCAGGTTCTCTGGCCAAGCTCTCAGCTCTGTAACACAGGCTCAGCTAGAGATCCCCTCATCCCCTCAAAGAGACCCCACACAGACAAGGTTTTCTTTTCTTTTCTTTTTTTTTTTTGGTTTTTCGAGACAGGGTTTCTTTGTGTAGCTTTGCACCTTTTCCTGGAGCTCACTTGGTAGCCCAGGCTAGCCTTGAACTCACAGAGATCCACCTGGCTCTGCCTCCCAAGTGCTGGGATTAAAGGCATGCGCCACCACTGCCCGGCAACAAGGTTTTCAAAACCACACAAATCCATGTAGGCAGTAGACAAAATTACCTATTTGTTGAAAAAAAAAAAAAAAAAAAGCCCAGTAGGTGCAGCGGCACAAGCCCAGAGCCCTGGGCACTTGAGAGGCGAAGACTGAAGGATGGACTTGAACCCAGGAGTTCAAGGCTGGGCTGGGCAACAAAGCCAGAATGCATATCAAAAACTAAAACAAAACCAACTAAAATCACACCAGCAAATGAAAAAATGAAGGCTGTATTATGATCACAAAAGTTATTGTAGAAATGTCTCCCTGCCAAGTGACTTCCACGTGTGTTTTAAGAACAAAAGGCGCTCACAGAAACTGTGAGGAAGAAGACCCCCCCCTCCCCACAGGAGCAAGGCTAAGACAGGCCGGGTGTGATTAAACCAGCCTGACTGCTGTTTTTATTTTGTGACCTTCTCTGTATGTGTCTGGTGGGTGTCGGCAGCCCTTCTGTGCACTTGGAAAACAAAACAAAAACCTATGAAATTAAAGTGATTCTGAATGCCAGAGAAGTCTACAATTACAGAACCACAGAGTCTTTAAGGCGGGGTCTCTGCCATCAGGGATGGGGAGACAGACAAGATCAGGCCAACAGTGAATAAGGCAAACTGGCTTCCGGGTTTGAGACTGTCACCAGGAAGGCCCGCTGAGGAGGAAGAGGAGCCAGCCAATGGCAAATCAGTGGTGAGGTAAATGGGGTAACAATCACAGTTAGTGGGGGTGACTTGGGCAGGCTGTAAGCCCTTGAAACATCAAGGTCCATGTCTTTGCAGGGCACAACTCCAAGCGGCAGTTTCTGGGGTTTGGAGGCTGGTTACTTTTTTGACCTTTTCCATCCCCCAAAAGACACGAAGATGGAGCCCATGAAGAGATGAAATCAAGGAAGGAGCCTCTTCTGGGTGAGCTGGGCAAGGGTCGGGTGACTTCCGGTAGCATGGATCTACCATTTCCCCTATGGCTGGCTGGCCAAGTCCTACAAGCGCTTGTAGGTGCCCAGGAGCGCTTTGCAGTTGGGGCAGTAATGGTCCACGTCTTGCAGGGCGTCTACACAGAATGGGATGAAGCAGCAGCCAGCGATGCACCTGGGAGAACAGAGACATAAGGAACTCGTCACCAACACCAAAACATGGGTTCACATCCCTGTGCGGGAACCTCCTGAAGGGTCTGTGATGGGCTGGCGTGGAGCTGAAGACCTGAGCTGGTAGAATTTGTCCCTGTATGAACGAAGCCCAGCATCTGATCCCCAATATCAAGTGTGCGAGCCTATAACCCCAGCACTCAGGAGAGAGGAGGAGAAGCAGGAGTTCAAGGTCATTGTTGACTCCCTGGTGAGTTGGGTACATGAGACCCTGACTTAAAAAGGAAGGGGGAGGGTCTTTGCAAAAGTAATTAAGTATCTTGACACAGGACCATGCTGGAAACTCAAAAAGATATGCCACACAGAGTAAAGATGACATGTGGTAGAGCCAGGCATGGTAGTACATCCTATCATTAGAAAGACAGAAGCAGGAAGATTTTGAGTTCAAAGCCAGCCTGGGCTATACAGTGAGACTCAAAAAGTAACGGAGCACCAGCACTCAGAATGTAGCTCAGTGGTGGAACACTTGCCCACCATGTGGGAGGGCTGGGCTCTAGCCTCAGCACTAAAAAAAAGGCTGTAGCTCAATGGGTAGAGGGCTTGCCCGCCATGCACAAAGCCCTGGGTCCCACCCCACGCACCGCATCACACCGGATGTGGTGGTGTAGGGCTGTGATCCCAACAGGAGGATCAGGAGTTCAAGGACATCCTTGGGTACTCTGTGACTTCAAGGCCAGCCTGAGCTACACTAGACCCTATATAAAAGAAGGAGGAGAAGGATGGAGAGGAAGAGGGGGAGGAGGGAGAGGAGGGTTGGCAAACTGCTTTGTAAAGGGCCGCAGTCCACGTATTGGACACGTTAGACGGCCACGTGGCCTGTGTTTCGCCTGCTCGGCAGCCCTCCTGGTAGCATGACCGTGAAGAACCAACAAACGAGGCTGGCAGCATCCAAACAGGGGTGGGCTGAGTTTTGCCTGGGGACAAAGTTGTCTTCAGGGTCCCAGTGACCAGGGAATCTATTTCCCCACACGACCCCTCCTAAGAGCCACCTTCTGCACGCAGATGGGACTTCCTACAGCCCCGACCCATGGTGGGGACACTGACTGCTGCAGCCCGCTCACTCCTCTCACTGTGAGCTCCCTGTGACCCCAGATACACTGACCTCATCCTCACCACACCCCCAGGAGACAGATGTGGGTACTCAAACACAGAGAAGGGAAGTCATCTGTCTTGAGGGGATCTGATTCATAGTGAGACCACGTCTCCAAATAATTAAAAAGTTGGGAAATAAAAGAGGCAGAGAGCCAGCTTCCACTTCAGCAGTTGGCTCAGGTGAGGCTGACCTTGTGCCCCATCCCAGTTTCAAAGACAAAAGTTAGTTTTAATACAAATATCTCAAAGCAGTGAAAAACAGGGTCTCATATAGCCCAGATTAGCCTCAAACTCCCTATGTGCTGGGGGCTGGCCTCAAACTACTGATCCTCCTGCCTCAGCCTCGGCATGCTGGGAGCGCAGGTGTGCGCCACGATGCACAGCTTTCTTTTTGTTTTATGGACAGTCTCACTCGGGTGCCCAGGCAGAGCCTGAGCTTGTGATCCTCCTGCCTCACACCTAAGTGCTGGGATGGCAGAGCTGGTTATCGATGAACTTTTATTTAAGCCTAGTCTGCCCAGAGGGTGGATGTTAGAGTCCACAACAGAGCCGCACAGGCAAGACAGAGAAGGATGGGTGGACCCGCCTGCGTACGCTTGAGGGTCTTGAGCTTGAGGGCTCCCTTTGAAATAAAGAACAACGCTTTCTTCTCCACCTAAAGTCACAAGCAGACAGTGAGGTGGGCCAGTCACCTAGCAGCTGAGGTACCTGCTCTTCCAGGAAAATGCACGCAGCAGTGGCTTCCTAAGTGGACACGGGCCAGAAAGGGTGAGGCTCCTGCTATTACCTGCTTTAGGAAAAACATGCCATTGCTTTTGCTCAGCTTTCTCTCCCGGAGCGGAGACAGCATCTCTTTCAGGGCAGACATAAATATTTATGTAATCCCCTGCACAGGCAACGGGAAAATAGCAGGGTTTTAAGGGAGAAGCATGGCTGAAGAGAGGCCTATAACGTGTGTTAGCGTACAGAGTGTTTGAAGTTTCCCTCGGGGTCACGCAAAAATTATTATTTAGGTCATGAAATTCTAGAAGGAAAAGAAGCCCGAGGATCCCACCCTCTGCAGATGTGAACAGCTGCTCCGTGGGCCTCTACATGAACATGCCCAGTGATTTCCACATGTGTTTGAGCGGAGTTCCCACCTGGAGGCACCCTGCAGATCCAGGGTGGTTTTTGGTGGCTGCCCTGTGGGGAGGGGGCCGTATGAACGTCTAGAAAGCCAAGACCAGGGGTGTTGCTCCAGACTTTCATTTTTAATTTTCATATTCATTCATTCATTCATTCATTGTGTAGATGTGAATACCTATGTGTCACAGCACAAATGTGGAAGTTGGGGGACAACTTTTGGGAGTCAGGTCTCTCTGTGTGGGTTCTGGGGATCAAACCCAGATTGTGAGGCTTGGTGACAAGCGCCCTTACCTGCTGGGCCATCTTGCTAGTCCTGTTTTGTGTTTTATTGAGACAAGGTCTCACTCTGTAACCCAGGCTGCCCTCCGATTTTCACTCCCCTGCCTTCACCTCTTGTTAGTGCTGAAATTACAGGAGCATGCCACCATGCTCAGCCGTCAGCATCCTCCACAGGCTGAGGGTGTATAGACAGGGAGCTAGCCTAGCATGCAGGTCCTGAGTGCCGCTGGGCCCAGTAGCATAAAACAGAAGACAAACAATTCCTACAGGAATCTGGGGCATAGCACAGCCAGTAAGGAGCTTGCCTTGCAGGCATGAGGACCTGAGTTCAAGTCCCCTGAACCACACGGTGGAAGCGAACTGACCACTGAAAGTTGTCCTCTGACTTGACATGTGCACCATGGTACATGTCCATGAACACACACAAGAAAGAAGGACAAGGGAAGTCATTTTAAAACTGTCTGTGAGAGAGTAAGGAACCAGACATGATGGAACCAGCTTGTAATCCTGGGGTTGGGAAGTCAGAGGGCTCTCCAGGGCTCACTGTTCAGCCACCCTAACCCACTTGGCAGGACTAAGAGCAGTGAGCGCTTGTCTCAAGAGAAAAGACAAAGAGCTAACCTCAGCCTCCAGGCTCAGACACACACACTGAATATCAATCACCGCATAGCGGGAACCCTCCAGAGGCTAAGGGGGTACACTCACCCCAGCAGACACAGACTGCCACAGGACAGCCAGGTGAGGGCGCCGGCGTTGTAGGACAGCTGGGTCACGATCATCTTGCTGCAGGACGGACAGCACATCTGGACAGGGCGGTCATAAAAGGAGACGGGCTGCTGCACATACACAGTCTGTACGGCAACTGTCGGTGGAAGACAAGACTGGTCAGTGAACAGGGACAGGAGCGCTCGCTTGTCCACACACCAGAACCCAAGCTCATAACGCTGTCACTAAATCACCTGTGGCTCCCAAGGATGAAAGGATAAGTAAACTGTAGTTGCCTGGACAACCACAGCTCAGCCTTAAAGGGACACTGTGCTGAGTGAAATAAGCCAGTCACCAAAGGACAAGCACCGGTTACTCCAGAGATGCCTACAGGAGCCCTCTGCAGTCAGTGCCTGGGGGTGAGGGGGGTGGGGACGGGGTGAAGGGGGTGAGGGGGTGGGAAGACGGAAGGTTCAGAGACTAAGAGTGGAGGTGGACAACGTGTGTTTACCTGACACCACTGAGCTGCACTCTCAGATGTTTCAAGAGGTAGGAAGGACTTGAAGTTGGGAAGAGGACAGCGAGGGGAGGGTGGAGGGAGGCAGAGAGGAATGGATGTGGATATGATCAAGACTATAAGTATATATGTGTGTAATATATACATATATATACTATAAACATACATATGCATGAAATGTTCTAAACACAAGTATTATTTTTTAAATGAAATATTTAAAATGGTTGATTTTTTTCCCCCATTTTTTTGTGATCATAAGACTCTCATCATATAGCCCACACTATCTTTCAGTTTGTGATCCTCCTGCCTCAGCAGCCTCCTCAGTTCTGGACTTACCATGTAGTCAAATGGTAGATTTTATGCCGTGTTGAATCTGTGTGTACACACTGTTTAGGAAGGGGTGGGGTGGAACATGGCCTCCCTATGTAGACCTGGCTAGCCTGGAACTTACTACATGGACCAGGCTGACCTTGAATCTGTGGCAATTCTCCTGCCTCTGCCTCCTAAGTATCATGCACATTTAAAACACCCACACAGAGAAAAGAAAGAATAAAAAAGGAGATAGAAAACAGTGGCAGACTTTCAGAGGAGTTTTTAAAGTCTATAGAAAGACTTGGTGTCCTGCTGGCGGACCCTGGCTCTCCTGCAGCACCTGTCCTGTGGGGTTCATACTGAAGACACCGGTTCCCAGGCTCTGGGCCTCGGGGTCGGACTCAAGTGTGAGCAGCAGGGTCCCCAAACAACTTCTTGAGCTCTGCAGATGGCAGAAGGGGTTAGAGAAGCAGGGACACGATGGGTGTGAGCCAAGCGCGGCTGCCAGAAGCTAAGAGGAGGGAGGGACACGCACCACGACTCCTGGTTGGCCTCTGACACCTGATGATAAAGGTATGAAGTTTGCCAACTGGGAAACACAAGCCCACAGCCAGCAAACACTGCTAAGAGAGCCATGAGCCAAGGAGAAGACACTCATGGAGGTCAGGAGACAATCTCCATGACAGAGGTGCTGAGGCCGCTTCAGCTGTATCCCCGTCAGTGACCCCCCTCCACTGCTAGGTCCTTGGGATGTCATTTACACAACCTGGAGCTGGGGGACCAGAGACTACCTACCGAGAATTCACTCACCAGCACCAAGACTGCTTCCAGGAAGCAGGAAGAAGCATACTTCAGTTATACAGAAGTTTTGTTTTGGTTCAAGAATAAGTCATTTCTTGACCACAGGATGGTCTAAGAGACTAAAGTAGCAGGCTACTGACATGGGCAGTTGGTTGAGTGGTTGTCTAGGATGTGCAACCCCCAGGACTTCAAAAACTGGGCATGGTGACACACTCAGGAGTTAGAGATAATAAACCCAGAAGTCCGAGGCTACCCTGGTCTACATACTGAATTCCAGACCAACTAGGGCTACATAGTAATACCCCGTCTCAAAAAAGCTATTAGCTCACTCTCCACCCCAAGAAGTCAGAACTGGACACAATGACCAGTTTCTTCTTATCAGGTGATGACCCAGGAAGTTAATTTTAACAGAATGACCCACTAACTCAGGGACGTGCTGATGAGGAAACCGAGCCATTAGAAAGGTGAGTCAGGGGGCTGGAGAGATGTGTCAGCCATTAAGAGCACTGGCTGCTCTTCCAGAGCTCGGGTTCTGTTCCCACACCCACATGATGGCTCACAAGCACCTGCAAGTCCATTCCCAGCGGATACAAGGCTCCTTCGGGCCCTCTTGTGTGTAAGGCACGCAACACTGTGCACATACATGCGTGCGCATTTTTACGGAACAAGGTGGACAGCTCCTGGGGTTGACCTCTGGCCTCCACAGGTACACACACAAACAAAACTGAAAACAGAAGGGCAGGGCACCAGCTCTGCGGGTCTGCGTCACACACAGGCTTGCTCTCTCAGGTGGCTGTCATCAGCTCACGATGCTGAGGAGTGCACACTCGCACACCTGGCCTTCGAGGACTCTCCCGACAAGAGCTCTGGGGAAACCTTCCAAGGGTCCGGGTAAGACCCTGGCCCAACAGAGGGGCAGCAGCTTTGCCGCCTTTTCTCACTTGGCACTGTTTCCTGCTCCTGTCCCCACCGCAGCTGGCCTCAGGACAGGAGTTCTCTGTCCACCCTGGCTCTGAACTCATAAACTCCCACTCCCAAGTTCTCTGGGTGGTGAGGTGCTGGGAGTCCAGCCGGCATGTGGAGGATCCCACATATTTTGCTGGGGATTTTTGTTATCGTTGTTTATTTTGATTACATTTATTGTTAATGTCTGTGCATGTGAATGTGGAGATCAAAGGGCAACTTTGGGGAGCCATTCTTTCCACCATTCGAGTCCTGGGGAGCAAACTCAGGCTTAGCAGCCAGCACCTTTAACCCACTGAGCCACCTTGCTGGCCACTGGATGTGTTCTATGATAGGGGAATTTCAGGCCTCAACAACGGAACGCCTGAAATATCCATGAGAAACCAGGGTGGGGTGGACGTCACAGTGCTTGTCACTTGGCTTTGACACTTTGGCACCTTACTGCGGTCCTCTACTTCTCAGGGTCCACAGGCTTGGTGACTAAGGAGTTGCAAAGAGGACGGGGGACATACGTACTTGCGTTGGCATTGGGAACAGGCACGGGCTGGGTGTAGTACGAAGGTGGATTCATGCCCTTCCCATCTGGGCCTGTGATGAGCCCCGTGGCTGGCCCCGGAACAGGTGCTGGGGGCACTGGGTAGTAGCTGTTGACACCCACTGTCTCTTCATAGGTTGGGGGTGCAGTGGGCATTGCAGAAGGGCCTGCAGCCGCCTGGTAAGGTCCTGGAGCCGACATTTTACCTAAAGCAAAGGCAGAAGACACCGTAAGGAGGTCACCTGACCTGGGGGTGGCGCATGCCCGAGACCCCAGTGCTGGGGAGGTAGAGCAGACATTCAAGATCATCCCCCACTGTCAACAAGTGTTGGCGACCAGCCTGGGCTACTTAAGACTGTCTTAAAACCAACTCTAAAGGGAGCAGGGAGAAAGAAGATGTTCCCGTGCCCCCTGCCCATCCCCCACAGAACAAGTTTTCAATCTCTGATCTGGCAAACAGAACAACCAAGGAGGCTATCACCTTCACAAGGGCCTTTCAAGCATAGACAAAAAGTAAGTTATTGGCCCGGACGACTGGACCCTCACAAGCCGCCTCTGAGGAGCTCCCTCAGGCCACACACTCCAAACCAGTATTTCTTCTGTTAAACCAATGTGTCATGAGTGACGGAAGTGACAGCAGCCGAGACTTGACCGTTTATGTTGTGTCGTTGTGTTTGTTTTCAAAGTGAATGTGTGCAGGGTATGGTGGTCCACACTGTAACCTCAGCATTGGGGAGGAAGAGGCAAGTTCAAGGACAGCCTCAGCGACATAACAAAGTGCCCAATGAATCTGCGTCTTTTTTATTCACTCTTAAAAATCTTTCTTTTTAATTGTGCGTGTTTCTGTACATGTGTGAGTGCAGTACCAGAAAAGGCCATCAGACGCCCTGGAGCTGGAGTGACAGACAGTTTTCAGCCACTTGCCATGGATGCTGGGGCCTGAACTCAGGTCCTCTGGGAGAGCAATGTATGCTCTTCAAATCACTCCAGTCCTAGGCTGCCTCCTTGTAAAGGAGGACTGCTCTTTCAGGAGCCACATGAGGCTCACAATCACCGGAAACTCCAGTTCTAGGGGACTGGTGTTTTCTTCCTGGCCTCTGCAGACAGGGCACATATGTGATGCATAGACATGTGTACTGGCAAAACAAACAAACACATCATTTTTTTTATCTTAAAATTTAGCATATTAGCTGGGGCTCTGTTGGTAAAGCACTTGCCTAGCATGCATGAGGCCAGGGCTTGATCCCCCAACATTTCAAAAACCTGATAGGGCAGCAAATATTTGTAATCTCGGTACTTGAGAGGCAGAGAGACAGGCAGGAGGATCAGAAGTTTAAGGCCATCATTGGCTATACACATAGCAACCTGGGATACATAGCAAGATCCTGTCTCAAAACAGCCCAGAGTAACCGCCATCACTACTTCTTGTTTGGAAAGTGGAACCCCAGGGCAGCTAGGGATACAGTGCCTTCAGTGAGGGAGAAGGTTTCTGCCCCTGGCAGAAGAACTGTTACCTGCCTGGACTGCTGCCTGCCCAGAATCATATTCCCGGACCCAGGCTGTGCCCTGGTCTGCTGATGCTCGGCAGTCATGGGGCAGCTTTGGTGAGACACAGGGCTGTCCTTTGTGTGGCTGTTTCCCAACCAGGCAGGACAGGCTCTACAGCTTTGTTATTCAAGCCTGTCTCAGGAGACATGGGCAGCCGGGACTGAGGGCGGTGTGCTGCGGCATCAGGGCTGGGCAGTCCTGACACCTCCATCCACAGAAACCAGTTCCTGTTGCAGAATGTGTGGGAAGCAAAGAGATGGGCTGTGCTACAGGAAGAAGTTCTGAAGGGAATCTCAAAGTGGGCAAGAAGCAAGGGCTGGGGGTGGGTTGCTTGGTAAAACAGCCAGCAGTAAGGTGGCCCAGCGGGTAAAGGTGCTTCAGGCTGAGCATGACGATCCGAGTTCAGTCCTCAAGACCCACACAGTGAAGAAAAAGACCCAGTTCCTGCAAACTGTGCTCTCCTGCCTCCCTCCACAGACATGTCCTGCCATGTGTGCCGGCCACCGATGATAGATAGACGGACAGACAGACAGATACGCACGTACGTACGTACATACATACATACATACATACATAGATGTGTGTCCACTCCCAATAAATAAATAAATATGTATTTAAAAATTAACATCTGCTGGGCAGTGGTGGCGCACGCCTTTAATCTCAGCACTTAGGAGGCAGAGACAGGAAGATCTCTGAGTTCAAAGCCAGCCTGGTCTACAGAGTGAGTTCCAGGACAGCCAGGGCTACACAGAGAAACGCTGTCTCAAAAAACAAAATCAAAAAAACAAAATTAACATCCAATATCAGGTAGGATGTCGAAGTAAAGTACAGCCTAGATTTTAAAAACTTACTACACAAGACTAATGCAAGACAGACCATCAGAACTTAAACACTGGTGACATGTTCAATGTTGGTTACATATGGGATTAAGTTAATTTCAGCTCCATCGGTGTCTTTTCAAGAGCAAAGCTCTGGAAGAACTTGAAGTGAGCTACATGGTTCAAGATGACGTCTTACACGAAGCAAACCAGAAGCCCCGCGTGTAGGTGGCAGGGAGAAGGAGGCACCAAGTTCTCCACGAGGGAAGGAAGGGGGATTCAGAAGATCACAGCAGCGTGCTGTGAAAACCACTTCAGAGCTAGAAATAAAAAGACCAAAAGAATGAGACAGGGCCCACAAGCAGTTTGAGGTGCTCTGTGGGTTTCCTCTGACAGGAAAAGAAATGCAGAGAGGCAAGGCGACAGGCTGATCATCTGGAAGATGACCTACCCCACCCCATCTGCTTCTAGCACTGACGCAGCCTGCAGAAACTCCTGACAGAGAGGCAATGCAGTTCCTGCTTGGCAGCAGCAGACATGATCCTGCCATGGGAGGGACGGATGTGAGGGACGCGCTGTCCTTCCCTGGTTCAAGAACAGCCAGCCGCAAACCTGCTTCACAGACTCACTATGAAAATTAGGACACGTAAAAAATTACAAGACGGTGTGTTCAGAAATCCTAAAATTGCCCCTGGCAGGGGCGTGAGGCATGGGGGTCAATGTGCTTCCCCAGGAGGGGAAGAAAGGGCATACAGCTGTGAAGCTGGCCTGGGACCACCATCTGAGCTGACTCCACGCAGCTGGAGAGCCATCCTGGTACCCACATTTGATTTTGATTATCCTGAGACAAGACTTCTATGTTGACCAGGCTGGTCTAGAACCGTGACTTGCCACTTCCTCAGCTCCCCAGGGCTGGGATTACAGCCCTGGATCAGCCTGGCTTTATACTGCATTGTAAAAGAATTGACCTCCAGGTTTGGGATGAGGAGGGTGGGGGTCTCACCATCACCTTCAAAGGAAGAAAGGGGATGGACTTCTTAGCCTGGAGAGTAAGGCCTTGACCTCCCCCACCCCTCACACACTCTCATGAACTGAGTCACATTCGCGTGCTCAGACTGAACCTTCCAGAAAATGCAGACAAACACTGTCTCTCCAGGGCACTGCTTTTGGATCCAACAGATGCATAAACGCATTTATAATTCTACCAAAAGAAAGAAAAGCAAAGGCCAGCAAAGGGCTGAGACAGAAAGGGCGCTTGCCCCAAGGCTGTCTCCTCCACCCACATGTGGGGAAACAAGTGGCCTCTGACCGCCACACCAAAGCTAGCCATGACGTAAGTATGCCCCGTCACTCGCAAAGTAAATTAATTTTGTTTGTCTAAAGAGAGTCCAGCCTTGTAACATCTCTTTGGTGGCCCTGGGCAGTCGAGTGGCCACACTAGTAAAATCAGGTGATCCTGGCAGAATCTGGTTGCCATAGTTACTGGGAGCTGTGTGGAGGAAATCCGGCTGTACCTTTCCTTCCTCCCCATTGTTTAACTGTCACTAAGATCTTTCAGACTCACCTTCTCCCAGCATTCACCAAGAAATCACAGGGAGCTGGAGTGGCTGTCCCACCATCTCAGAAGGACTCGTCTGTCCTTACCAAGTCCCAAACTTGGACGGAGGCATTCCTGTACAAACCTGTCAAGTCCAAATCTTGCTTGTTTGGTTGGTTTTTGTTTTGAAGACAGTCTCACTCTGTAGCCCTGGCTGGCCTGAAACTCAGAGATCCACCTGTCTCCACCTCCCAAATGCTGAGGTTAGGGGGTACCACTATGCCTAACTCCACATCTACTTCGTAAAGGCAAGAGGTGGAATAGAGAGGCCGGCTTCAGGGGTGGCATGCGGGGCGTGGGGGATGACAAGGCCAGATGCCTAGACATTCCAGGTTCTGCTTTAGAGGGGCCCAGAGCAACAGTTCTCAACCTGTGGGATCTAAGGACACTTTCACAGGGGTCGCCTAAAACCATCAGAAAACACAGATATTCACAATTCATAACAGTAACAAAATTACAGTTATGAGGTAACAACGAAAATAATTTTAAGATTGGGGGTCACCACAACATGAGGAACTGTATTCAAGAGCAGCAGCATTAGGAAGGCTGAGAAACAGTGGCCTAGAGTCATGCTTGGCACAATGTCCCTGTGTGGCCACCCTAAATAAAATTCTTGCCACTTTTGCGGCCAGGCTCTGTGTTAACACGCTGTAGAGGGCCCGAGAATCGGGAAACCAACCCCCACCTCCTGCAGACAGCAAGGAGAACTGGAGACTGGGCCGGTTTTGAGAATGCCCCTGTCCTATCCAAACCCACCACTTAAAATCCCTCGTATCCGGGCCTCGGTGATCCGCTTTGGGGCAGATGGCATCCTAAATGACACCGGGGAGGACGGGGACACACAGGTGACAGTCATCTCTGGCCTGCAGGGCTGTGTCTAGGAGACTCAAGTGAGCCTGTTACAGAGAAGGGCTTCTCACTCAGGCCTGTTTTCTATACTGCCACTCCATCCCAGGCAGAATAATTAAGTTATGTTTAACTCAATTAATTAATTAGATATAATTTAATTTCTGCCTAACAAGAGAAACTAAAATTAGGAAATAAGATTTTGTTGGGGAGAGTTGAGGGCCTCACACCACCGTCATATTTATTATGACTTTGTCTTCTCCCTTGGTCACTCCCTAGTGAGTGCACTCTTGAGAAGGTCAGCCTGTCCCTCAGCCGGTGAGAGATGTCACAGAGCTGTCACAGATGTAAGCCTTCCGCCACTGACTGAACCTGGCTCTCCTTCCATCTGCCCAGT